CACCAGCAGCAGCAGCAGCAGCAGCAGCAGCAGCAGTAGTAGTAGTAGTAGCAGCAGCACCAACAACTACAACAACTTTAAGAACGACTATAACATCAGCAATAACAAAATTAATTGTAAACATTTGTTGTTCTCTATTTACAATTCACAAACACATCTACCCATACAACTGCACATTTGCATACTTATAAGTAAAAAATAATAAAAATAAAAAAAATAAAAATAAATTCTTTGTTCTGTTCTCAACTATCAAATGAGATAAAAAAACAAAAAAACAAAAAAAAAAGTACTTTTTATACGGGTATGCACGAGTAAACAACAAAGAAACTTAAAACAGTAACAACAATTGCAATAACAGCAGCAACATTCCATTACTACTATAGCATCATAGTAAAACTGGGCGCATACATGTAGAAGCAGATAAAAGACAAAATTCCATCAGTATTTCGTGTTCTATATAAAATCTCTTAACAGGTAAGTCTCACAGAATAAAATTAAAAAATAAATAAATAAAACATATATTCATATATATTCAATTATATATATAGGTATGTATATATATATATATATATATATATATATATAGGTATATATATATTCAGTTACATATATTGTTCAGGTGGTGTATTGATTGTTGATTAATTGCAACGGATCGAATTTCATTATGTTTGAGTGAAATCCACGTTTCAGGGCCGGATTTGCAACAAATTATTCGCTTAACACAACGCAAAAAGATGGGAGGGAGATTCGAGTACAAATGCTCAATGAATATCAGCGTTTTTTTTATTTTTATTTTTATTTATTTTTTTTTTTATTATTATTATTGTTATGAATTAACTCGTCTCTCCTAACTCACCAGAAAACTGCTTACACTCGGTGTTGCCATTAGGCCGAGTGGCGAGAGATATGACAAGAAATATGAGAAAGTGTTAACTATCGATCTATCCTATGGCATTTATTTATCCCCGTTCTTAATTCCAATTACTAAGATTAATTATTTTATACTATTAATCGATGTTTACATTGGCTGTTTGCCAGACTAGCCAAGGCTAGCCTTAATAAACTTATGGCTGCGATCACTCGAGAAAGGATACAATTCTCTTAAACCAATTCTGTTTGAATTTAAACTTAATTGCCTTTCATTCATAGTCACATAATTTACGAGTTCTTTTATTAGAAAATACAATAACAACAACAACAACAAGAATTCAAATATGTTTGTAACTCATCTGTTTACTTATACATCTGCGGTTACGTGAAACTTGTGTTTTTTATACATAAAAGAACGAATTGACAGATGGACTTGTGAGTATTCACGTGCTCGCATAAAATACGAAACTACTTACCTGCTCGGAACTGTTGAGTATGGAAATACATATGTCATTTTTCCTTTTTCTGTTTTCCACTTAAGACAGTAAGGCAACCGTTAAATGCCCTCCACCTTTCCATATATTTTCGCGATAAAATACCAAAATTTATATCTTTCTCCCATTTACATATGTACTTTTGAATGGGACCTCTCATATGGAAGGCGGGGGGTCAAACTTTGGTAAAGTTAATGCATCGGTTTTCATAATAAAATATTAAAAGTTAGTAAAGGCTAATATTCCTTGAGAAGGTAAGGAAAGTGCTCACAAAATCAGATCATCCAATCGAAGCGATCGAATCTAACCGTGACTCGGCGGTTTTTGTCACGGATATTTAGAATTGATTTTAACGTAACAAGTATTTCGAAATAAGGGGTTGTATGGGGAGTAGTTGCAAAAGTGGTCTGATCCGATCCATTTCCATGCATTTTCATTAGCAGGGTTCGGCGTTGAACCAAAGCATGTCAGTATATCAAATTTCGTTAAAATATATTGTTATATATATATATAGAACTACATGAATACTTATCGAAGAGACAGACAGAAGAATGGATACGCTTAAATTGGTTCAAACAATGATTCTAAATCGATAATAAAATTATAGAATGTACACCTAATTCTTTTTTTACACGATAGATACGTTTACAAAAAATTCGTATAAGAAAAGATATTGACTAAATGGAAAAAGAGTAGACTTAAAACAGACTTAAAAGAGCGACTGAAAAGTATAAAAAAAAATTCTGAAAAATTCTGGTTAGAGTTTACTTCAAGATTTACCTCGCGCTTACAGATTTCGATTCATTAAATATGTTATAAAAAATAAATCGTACTTTGAAAAATCAAATTAAATTAAACATACATTACGTTTTTACTCTATGCGTAATTCGGGGAATCCCGCTCATATATGCACATAATTGACATAATCTAACTAAAGTGGAAAATATAATACCAAGTTGCAATGCCTATTAGTGCGGAGTGAGAGTGAAAAAATTCATAGAAACATCAAAGGAAGAAAAATTCATAGAACATGAAAAATCGTGTTAAAATAAAACAATTCGGGTAAAAAGAGACAAAGTATAGCATCTAATAATGGTTAATGTTATAAAATATATCAGAAAGCTAAAGTAGTAAGGTCAAGGTCATCGTCATCATTTCTTTTTAGCTCGTGTTAAAACAAAACAATTCGGGTAAAAAGAGACAAAGTATGGGAAATGGTATATGTTGGAAGGAAGAGGAAAGGTCGTCGAAATGATCTCTGCGATCCCATTCACAGATTCACCCATAACGGTCAGCATTAACTTTATCTTAAAAAAACAGTGTTAAGAAAAAAAAAAAGAAAGGAAACAAAGCTATATTCAGCTATGGCCGAATCTTTTGTCTCAAGAGAAACAAAATAACGAGAAACAAGGAGAAAAAATTCAATTTCTATTAACCATAGGATAAATGTGCACAATTTTGGCACTGTGGCTGCAATAAGCAAAGAAATCCAATAGTTTTTTGGCTTCCAAAAGCAGAAGTGTTAGTCAATTCATTTTCTTACCTAATTCTTTTACCTAACGTTTTTCGGAATTTTTGTAGTCTATACCTTAAGTTTTACAACATTTTCGCCACACAGACGGACATGCGGATACGTTGGAATCATATCAAAATTTGACAATGACCAATTATATGGATACACTCAACGACGGGATGTCGGGTTTTGTATCGAACCAATAGCGTTCGCAAGTGATGCGACTTTTGCTATTCAATTTGAAGCATAATGCTGGTGAAGCATTACGAGTGGTGAACAGTGGGTGCTTTTGCGACATTCGAAAATTAAATAAATAAATAAACATCATATAGAGTAGACGGACCATTAACACCGACCGAGAAAGCCGAATAACCGCGACAGCGCTATTTAGGGGACACAGGAAGAAGTCGACTGGTTGCGGTGCATTACGGGTTGTTCCAAACTGACGAAAGCATCCAGCAAAACAAAACGTTACCAACAATTAGCTGATGCCGCTCTGTCAGCGGAAAAAGTGATAGGTGATCATCATTTTTTTTGCATAATGGAAACATTAGGATCGCTAATTGTCGACTGCGTCATCCTGTCCGCTCCTTCTGATAAACACTGGCGATATTTTATTGTCTGTTCGAGCAGAGTTCTGCGATGTTGTGACTAGTGATGGAAAAATATTGTGAATAAATCATTTTTTCAATTTTTCATTGATTAGAGAAACCACGTAACTCGGTTGCAAACGTAGCATTGTACACTTTTACTATCTATCCCGCATGATAATTTTCTTTTGCGTTGTCAATTAGCTGTGCAAATAATCGTGTAAGATTATGAAGATAAAGTGTTATCAATTTTCGTAGAGTTTCTGACGCTCACGCAAAAAATGACGATAGCACAGTTGTCATCAATTTTTTTATTCTTTAGCGCGTAATTGGACGAGGATGTGAACGCGATAACACGAATTCTGAAAGGTTTTTTATGAAGTCAATCAGCGAACTTAATTTCGATTTTATTTCCTTGTTTTCCTTCTTCTTCGTTTTCATAAAAATAAAGCATTTCTTTTCAGATCTTTTTCTGGCAATAATTATACGGTTTTTTTTTTTTTTAAGATCTTTCCAATCGCAAAAAATTAATATTATTGATGTGCAGAGATATAACTCCCCGTATGTTTATCAGGGCGACATTACCTTTGTGATTTCATATTAAAAGCAAGAAGAGAAAGAGAGAGAGAGAGAGAGAGGAAGAGAAAGAAATATTTTATTGTCAAAAGTTTTCGCATTAAAAAACCGGATATTTACTGATTGGTGATTATAACTCCTGTCTGTTTGCTTCTTTTTCTTTTTTTTTTTTTCCCTCTTCCTCTCTCTTTTTTTCTGTATGTACGTGTGCTCATAGTTTTAACTTTTCATATCTTTGCAAACAATTTTTCATTTATTTTTTTTAAAATTTTTTTTTTTTCATTTTTTTCATTTTTTTTTTTTTTTTTTTTTTTTACATATTTGCCATTTTACGAAGCGAAAGTTTGACGTTTTGATTTATTTGGTCTTTTAAATGACATTGAGTTTGAAACTATTTAATTTGGATGACATACACAAACATACGTATGCGTATGTATATATACACGCGGGGAAACATACTCAATTGCATTAAATATCGTAAATATATTTTGTTGATGGTTTGATGTTGCGACTCTGATGTGCTTGCATTATTCAATGCCAACTGAACTGGATATGTAATGGAAACGATTTCATATTGACTTATTACGGGATGTATACATACTAAATTGGTTAATTGGCTTGTAACACTTTAAAGGATGTCGCGAAGACATAACAGTAGTGATAGATATTAAATTACATTCTTATTTATAGTTGATAGCTTCTTGCTAGTATGCATCTAACGTCCTCATAAATAGATTGCATGGCATAAATTCCGTATAATACTTTATCTGAGAATGAAAGGCTAATATATGCAAGATTCAACCTTGGATTAGGATTCGTTGTCAATTTTTTTATTTACGATCTACGTACACATTTTACTCTTTATAGAAGTGCAAGTGTGTGTGTGTGCGTGTGTGTGTGTAAACATGTTAAATGTAAATGTTTTGCTTGATTTGATTAATTTGCTCCAATTATTTTTTCTTTCTTTTTTAGGCGTTTGAAAAATTGAAATGTACATAACGCAAAAAACGAGTAATTATTAACTTATTAATTGATTGGATTGGCAATCCAATCACATTTTTGATGAAGAAAAAAAGAAAAAAGAAAAAAACAAAATAATATATAAAATTATTACATTTTATAAACGCGTTTATAATGCTTACGATATTCACAACGTTATAAGCAATCTGAAACGAAACATGAGTATCGCTCCTATCATATTTCATAAGTACGTACGTATGTACGTCTTTTTGGACTCACCGCTGCCAGAAACAATTAGATTTATCTTTCCCTTTGCACTTTCATTCTCTACATGGCCCGCATATTAAGTTTGTACGAATGTATGTAATACCTAGAAGCAAGAGGATGAAGATTGATCCATCTCTTATTATACTATAAGTGTAGCAATTTGTTTGTCTCCTTGATACGCATCCATATACTTTATCTATTCAA